AAAAATGAGGGATTTTTTATTTGCTTGTCTCCTCACCACGTCCCTTATTAGGGAGTTCACTGCACCATTCAAAGAACACAGTAAGGTCGGTCTAGCATGATGTATAATAATATACCAATAAATAAATACCGGGATTGATAATCTCTTCGTTGTCAGAGAAGGTGACAGAGTTAGGTCTGTACTTTCTTCTGGAGATCTTGTCTCCTCCAGCCTCCACTATACCCACCATTGATATCTGTCTGTTGTGGGCTGTGTTGTACTGAGTCAGGTCCTGAGAGGAGAGAGAGAGAGAAATGAGAGGTGAAAGGAGGGAGGAGTTACGAGAAAGGTGAGGGATGGATTACACAAGAAAAATTGACGACAAAGTGCAAATTGTCCAATACGTGTTCATTCACATAACATTCACATAAAGATGTTCCTCTAAAACAAACTGTGTATTAATTGAGTATATTTCACCCCAGATGGGCAAAAATTGCCACCACATTCTGTCCCGACCGAAATTTTGAATTTCTTAGACAAAGTGACAGTCAACTCACGTCAACATCAGTGTCTAGTTCAGGCAGGCCAAGGAGGGTGCCTCCCTCCACTTCCCCTCCTCCCCCCTCCTCCCCCATCACCATGGTAACCGTCTGAGGCCTCTCCCTGCAACGGGTCAACTTACAATGAGACAGTGGGTGAAGAGAACAGGACGTGTGTATCTTTACTCGTGTCTATAGCTACACGCCACCAGCTTAAAGGGAATATGTGTGTAAAAATGAAAAACGTGAACGTAATTGTATATTGTTTTGTTCCAACATTTCTATTAAATTTAACCCTTTTGTACATATATACAGCCACATTTCCTTACATAGTGTATATACTCTGAAACTAGTGAAGTCACACACACTTTTGGTGGATAATGATACACAATCAAAACAAACACCAGCTGTATAAACTGCACATGGCTCTCAGTATAATTATCACGTTCGGATTATTTCAAACTTGCAATTTGAGCGGAACACCAAAAAATCATGTACAAGCATATCACACACTAAATTTTCATGTCAGACCATGTCAAAAAAAGATGATACAAAAAATAAGGAGTGATACAAAAATTGTCCATTAAAAAAAAATTAATACATTGTCAACATGAAGTACAATGCATCAAGATCTTAGTTGGTCCAGTGCCATCTGTATCTGGTCGGCCATAAGTGAAAGTTCGCTGTCTCTCAGAGTTGCTATGAGGCTCTCCCACGACACCTCCACCCCCTTCCCTGCCAGCCACTCCCTCAGAATCCCCATTGTGATTCTCTCTGGATCCCCGCGACAACACTCACTGATATTAGCCACTTTGTCTCCAAAGTCGTCTTGGAGAAGAAGCGTACCGAATGCGAGGGACTTGGGCCCAACTCGAGAGGGCAGTCTGATCTTGACAAGTTCTGTCAGTGTAGGCCTTTCACCCGAGACTGCAGGAAGCAACAATTCGTGCACTAAATACTATACCTACAAGCCTTCACACAATTTGAAAGTGTACTTTGATATCTATCTACATACCTGATAAGGGAGGCACCGCTGTGGACTTTTTCTTGGAGTCTGACTTGCTCTCTATATAAAGATATCATATAAATAGCTAAATGCAAGTTCGTTTCACCCCAGATGAAATCAAATTTTCTTAGACAAAGTGAGAGTCAACTCACGTCAACATCAGTGTCTAGTTCAGGCAGGCCAAGGAGGGTCCCTCCCTCCACTTACCCTCCTCCCCCATCACCATGGTAACCGTCTGAGGCCTCTCCCTGCAACGGGTCAACTTACAATGAGACAGTGGGTGAAGAGAACAGGACGCGTGTATCTTTACTTGTGTCTATAGCTGCACGCCACCAGCTTAAAGGGAATATGTGTGTAAAAATGAAAAACGTGAACGTAATTGTATATTGTTTTGTTCCAACATTTCTATTACATTTAACCCTTTTGTACGTATATACAGCCACATTTCCTTACATGGTGTATATACTATGAAACTAGTGAAGTCACACACACTTTTGGTGGATAATGATACACAATCAAAACAAACACCAGCTGTATAAACTGCACATGGCTCTCAGTATAATAATATCACTTTTTCTTGGAGTCTGACTTGCTCTCTATATAAAGATATCATATAAATAGCTAAATGCAAGTTCGTTTCTACCCCTGCAAAAATAGGCACTACCAGCTATTATAGTCACATACTCACAGATAATCATCTTACCATCGAGCCACATCTTCTGGTCAGGAGTGAGAGGATGGGCCACGCAGTCTGGACTGAGGGAGCAGGTGAGAAAGCTGTGAGTGTTGTGGGGAATGTAGCCATCCTTCATGGCTTCTCTCAAGATTGCTGTTGGATCTGAAATGTAGGAGTTAAAGGTATACTTAGCCTAAAGTTACGCAGAATTATTAACCCTCGGTGCGCATGCACAGCGAGGGTTACGGTAGTTGGTTTGTCTGTCTGTCTTACTGTCTGTCTGTGTCTGTCTGTCTGTCTGTCTGTCTGTCTGTCTGTCTGTCTGTGTGTCTGTGTGTCGACGCTTATTCTGGCACTACAGGCTACGAGGCGGCCAATTAGCGATACCAGCGGCTTCAGAACTACGCGAGCCTGAAAAATAAAAGGGCGATTTTCCTGAAACGACTGCGTTCGAGAGATATCCGTGAAAACAAGTGAGAAAAACCAATAGCATAATTTCACTGGGCTTACTGCGCCTGATCGCTCGCTCTGTGTACCTTGAAGGCACAAGAAGTCACGATGGCATGCTATCTACTACTAGCTAGCCATGTCAGACTCTCCGCGAGCTAATGCGGGAGACCACAAGTAAATGCATACACATAGCCAGCTCATCAATTAGCAATATTGTGCAGTGCACAGTTTCCAGAGGATATGCACTTAGTGTCTTCAAGCAAGATGCAATATGGTAGTAATTGATGGTCTGTTTTCTTAGCATAAACACCAGTCGTGTACTTCACGCCTCATACTGTGTTTTGTTCATCTGTGATTATACTTACAAAATAATGCACTGAATGCACACCTCGGTGACACTACACACAGGTAACGCAGTGCGCGGTACCACTATTGAGGCTGGGTTATACCTACAACGTACTCGTGGTCTGTTGCATGCTCGTGAGCGAGAGAGTGAGCACTGAGCTAGCTAGCACTACTTCGGTAGCATGCGGAAAGGCAACTACCGCCCTACAGTCGGGAAAAATATCCGCCGTAACTCCGCTATACTACAACCAACCAGATGTTCAAAAGCACGTAGGTTCGTAGAAACAGCCTGTGTTTACAGTCGGACGCTCGCTACAGACGTACATGTATGCCCATAGTAGAAGTATGGAGGTTTCCAGTGCCACATAGCACTGCAATGGAGCCACACTACGTGTATCTTATGTGTAATACCTAAGCCATGGTGTGCAGCGAGCGAGCTCTGTTCAAACAGATCGACCATACAACGTCCAGAGCAAGCAATAGCATAGGCAATAGCATAGTAGGTTTCACGCGCACTATAAGCCTGCTGGACTATACCAAACGCTCCACGCTCATCCAGTGCTGTCTTGCTAGGGACTGCAGTGGTAGACGCTCCTGGCAACCATTGATTAGCACTAATCACTTGATGCTCCTTATGAGGTGTGTCTGCCTCCTAACACAGTTTTGACCGCCAGAGGCCAGCCAAGCTGCACATGAGGAGGTAAGTGCTACCTATTATTATGATACACTTTGTCTATGTTCTTTTACTCCAGGCAACAGTGATTAGTGAACTGAGAACAACCACCCACTAAAACTTGAGTAATGTACACTATATACAAAGCCCCATCAATTA